CAGTGTTGACTGTCCAGGAACAACCCAAGGTATTTAAAATTTTCCACAGTTTCAATAGGTTAGCCAGCGAGAGAAATGGAACCACTTTAAGGTCTTGTTTAGATCATTTAATTAGCTCTACATTCTTAAGAGAATGAAAAATTTATAATAAATAATAAAGACTTTGCGGTATTCTGATTTAGTAATGTAATTATATTAGTTGTTACCACCCCCACGGCACTAGAGGCAGTAGCAACCCTGAAAAGATGCGACTAAGGAGCAGATTTAGAAGTAAAGCGAAAGCTACAGAATTTGGTGAAAACTTTGAGCTTTACTGAAGTAGAGTAGAGCAGTGAACACAAGTTCAAATCCATGCAGAGAGTGGAACTCCTCCAATCAATGCTCCTCCGCAGCACTGATTGGCTAAGCAATGTAACGTGATGCTCTGCAACAAGTGATGGCAAAGCGGGGCGCATCATCACGACTTTACACAAGTGTGTCTTTAACTCCACGGCAGAGGCTCCGCCGAACCCCTGAGACCGACTCATCGAACCCCTGGGGTTCGATCGAACCCAGGTTAAGAACCACTGGTCTAAACCAAACGGTAGTGGTTGGGTTGAAGGATTTTCTTCAGATTTTGGTGTTGCTGAAAATATTATCTGGAGCACATAACCTCTGCTTGAGTTACTTATTTTCCTGTTTTATGAGATGAATTAGTTTTTGTTGATCTGATAAACTTCCAGTTCAGTTAACATGTTTTTTCTAACTCTCAGGTTATTTAGCAGCTGCAGCTGAATTATTCTGAAACCGCAGGACTCTGCTTCCTCTGCAGGGAGCCATCGTCGCAGTGACGGGTGATGGCGTTAACGACTCTCCAGCTCTGAAGAAAGCCGACATTGGCGTCGCCATGGGAATCGCTGGGTCTGACGTCTCCAAGCAGGCAGCTGACATGATCCTGCTGGATGACAACTTTGCCTCCATTGTTACCGGAGTGGAAGAAGGTTAAAACATGTCCTTTAGGTGAATCTTTCACCAGGCTAGGAGAGGGCTTTAGTCAGCATTTTCTCTTCTCCATCAGGTCGTCTGATCTTTGACAACCTGAAGAAATCCATCGCCTACACTCTGACCAGTAACATCCCCGAGATCACCCCCTTCCTCTTCTTCATCATCGCCAACATCCCTCTGCCTCTGGGCACTGTCACCATCCTCTGTATCGACTTGGGAACAGACATGGTAATGTCCTTCTCTCCGCCCTGCTGAAGGTTCTCTCACGCCCCCATGCTCCAGCCTTTAGCCCTGACTGCTGTAACTTCCTCCAGGTTCCCGCCATCTCCCTGGCTTATGAAGCAGCCGAGAGTGACATCATGAAGAGACAGCCCCGAAACCCCAAAACAGACAAACTGGTTAACGAGAGGCTCATCAGCATTGCCTACGGTCAAATCGGTAAATAGACGCTTCTGAAACCGAGGTCGCATTCTGCAGTTATCTGGACTCTTTGTCTGTCTGGGCTGAGATGACAAAAAGAGTAACACAGAATAAATGGACCAGCACTGATATAGAAGTCTGCTTCAAATGTTCATTTAAATAAAGCCAAGAAGAACTTGTAGACTGACATTTTCAGCTATAGTAAAACATATTTTTGTTTCCCTTTTCAACAATATTCTTATCACATCTATCTCTTTAAAAACAGTAATGTTTCAGACATCATTTTAGCTTCTGAAATGATTTTTTTTGTTTGTTTTGTTTTTTGGTTGTTTGTTGTTGTTGGAGAAAAATATAGTTTTGCAAAAATCTTTTGTCTCCCCTTCAATTCAAAAATGCTAAAATTAAATGTTATTGTTATTGGTTAGCCCTGCAACAGACTGGCTACCTGTCCAGGGTGACCCTGCCTTCGCCCGGAACGTTAGCTGGAGATAGGCACCAGCAACCCTCCCAACCTCACTAAGGGACAAGGGTGTACAGAAAATGGATGGATGGATGAACTTGGTCATTTAAAATGTATATTATTTAATTAGGCATTTAATGGCACATTCATTTATTTCATGACATTTACCTTAAGTTTCACATCTCTATGATTCTGGAAGCCATTTCACAAGCTTGTGGGCTGAATGGTTGATGCTGAGTGGACAGAGTGTCTGAGCAGCTTGTGGTGACCTCTGATCCTGCAGGGATGATCCAGGCGCTGGCCGGGTTCTTTACCTACTTCGTGATCCTGGCTGAGAACGGCTTCCTGCCCTCCACCCTGGTAGGGATCCGGGTCAACTGGGACAACAAGTACATCAACGATCTGGAGGACAGCTATGGACAGCAGTGGGTCAGTGGCTTCTGTCTGATGGGTGGAACCAGTGGACAGTCCAGCTGCATGTCTTTCTTAAATCTGGACTCTGCTTTGGTTCCAGACCTACGAGCAGAGGAAGATTGTGGAGTTCACCTGCCACACGGCTTTCTTTGTCAGCATCGTCATCGTCCAATGGGCCGACCTGATCATCTGCAAGACCAGGAGGAACTCTGTGTTCCAGCAGGGCATGAAGTGAGGAAGAGCACTGAACTCTGGGTAATTCCAGAGCTGAGCCAGGACCACGTGTGGGATGTCCTGACTTTCTGTTTCTGTGTTTCAGGAACAAGATTCTGATCTTCGGCCTGTTTGAGGAGACGGCCCTTGCTGCCTTCCTCTCCTACTGCCCAGGCATGGACGTCGCCCTCAGAATGTACCCTCTCAAGTGAGTACTTGTGTTTTCAGCCATATAGGGTTTATCCAGGATTCCTAGAGTGAGAAAGTCTGGAATATGACTGTAATACATTTCAGGTCTGGAACATAATAGAAGAATAATTTTTCAGGCTAATATCTATCCTACTATTCCTTCTTTCTTTTTTTTCTCCTTCCTTCCTTTCCTTTTTTCCCTTTTTCCTTCTTTCCTTCTTTTTTCCCCTTTTTTTTTACTTTTCCTCTCTTTCGTTTCCTTTTTAATTTTATTTTCATTTCCCTCCCCTTGTTCCTTTCTCCTTACTTCCTTTCCCCTTTAATTTCTTCCTCATTCCATCTTTCCTTTCTCCTTTTTTTCGTTCCTTCCTCTTCTTTTTCCTTCCTCCCTTCCCCATGGTTTTCAAGGTTTCCACTGAAGAAATCCATGGAATATATGAATTTCCAAATGTAGCTCTGTGTGTTTCTATATGAACAGAATGAGTGAGTGGTCCAACAGGTTGAGTCTGGATCGTTGTGTAGCAACGCTGTCACCCAGAGCTGCAGTTTCCTATTCATCTAATCCGTGCATTTGTGTGTTTTCCAGACCCAACTGGTGGTTCTGCGCCTTCCCATACTCCCTGCTCATCTTCATCTATGATGAAATCCGTAAACTGATCCTCAGGCGAAGCCCGGGAGGCGAGTCTCTAACCTTTCTTCAGGTTTTCTTGGTTCCTTCTTTGGTTTCTAACCTGAACTTCCTGTTTCCCATCTTCTCCAGGCTGGGTGGAACGAGAGACCTACTATTAAAGACCCACAAATCCAGTCCGTTCGCATCTTGTCCTCCACTCCTCCTGTCTTTGCATGAATATTGTCTTGCTGCTCGGAATAAAATTTTTAACCTCTATGACAAATAAATTGGAACGTGTTTTTATATTAGGGAATGCTTGATACTACCATTAGATCAATACTGAGATGAAAAATGCTGATGATAATGTTGATAAATGACAATGCTAATGATGACATGAACACTGAACATNTAGCAACCCTGAAAAGATGCGACTAAGGAGCAGATTTAGAAGTAAAGCGAAAGCTACAGAATTTGGTGAAAACTTTGAGCTTTACTGAAGTAGAGTAGAGCAGTGAACACAAGTTCAAATCCATGCAGAGAGTGGAACTCCTCCAATCAATGCTCCTCCGCAGCACTGATTGGCTAAGCAATGTAACGTGATGCTCTGCAACAAGTGATGGCAAAGCGGGGCGCATCATCACGACTTTACACAAGTGTGTCTTTAACTCCACGGCAGAGGCTCCGCCGAACCCCTGAGACCGACTCATCGAACCCCTGGGGTTCGATCGAACCCAGGTTAAGAACCACTGGTCTAAACCAAACGGTAGTGGTTGGGTTGAAGGATTTTCTTCAGATTTTGGTGTTGCTGAAAATATTATCTGGAGCACATAACCTCTGCTTGAGTTACTTATTTTCCTGTTTTATGAGATGAATTAGTTTTTGTTGATCTGATAAACTTCCAGTTCAGTTAACATGTTTTTTCTAACTCTCAGGTTATTTAGCAGCTGCAGCTGAATTATTCTGAAACCGCAGGACTCTGCTTCCTCTGCAGGGAGCCATCGTCGCAGTGACGGGTGATGGCGTTAACGACTCTCCAGCTCTGAAGAAAGCCGACATTGGCGTCGCCATGGGAATCGCTGGGTCTGACGTCTCCAAGCAGGCAGCTGACATGATCCTGCTGGATGACAACTTTGCCTCCATTGTTACCGGAGTGGAAGAAGGTTAAAACATGTCCTTTAGGTGAATCTTTCACCAGGCTAGGAGAGGGCTTTAGTCAGCATTTTCTCTTCTCCATCAGGTCGTCTGATCTTTGACAACCTGAAGAAATCCATCGCCTACACTCTGACCAGTAACATCCCCGAGATCACCCCCTTCCTCTTCTTCATCATCGCCAACATCCCTCTGCCTCTGGGCACTGTCACCATCCTCTGTATCGACTTGGGAACAGACATGGTAATGTCCTTCTCTCCGCCCTGCTGAAGGTTCTCTCACGCCCCCATGCTCCAGCCTTTAGCCCTGACTGCTGTAACTTCCTCCAGGTTCCCGCCATCTCCCTGGCTTATGAAGCAGCCGAGAGTGACATCATGAAGAGACAGCCCCGAAACCCCAAAACAGACAAACTGGTTAACGAGAGGCTCATCAGCATTGCCTACGGTCAAATCGGTAAATAGACGCTTCTGAAACCGAGGTCGCATTCTGCAGTTATCTGGACTCTTTGTCTGTCTGGGCTGAGATGACAAAAAGAGTAACACAGAATAAATGGACCAGCACTGATATAGAAGTCTGCTTCAAATGTTCATTTAAATAAAGCCAAGAAGAACTTGTAGACTGACATTTTCAGCTATAGTAAAACATATTTTTGTTTCCCTTTTCAACAATATTCTTATCACATCTATCTCTTTAAAAACAGTAATGTTTCAGACATCATTTTAGCTTCTGAAATGATTTTTTTTGTTTGTTTTGTTTTTTGGTTGTTTGTTGTTGTTGGAGAAAAATATAGTTTTGCAAAAATCTTTTGTCTCCCCTTCAATTCAAAAATGCTAAAATTAAATGTTATTGTTATTGGTTAGCCCTGCAACAGACTGGCTACCTGTCCAGGGTGACCCTGCCTTCGCCCGGAACGTTAGCTGGAGATAGGCACCAGCAACCCTCCCAACCTCACTAAGGGACAAGGGTGTACAGAAAATGGATGGATGGATGAACTTGGTCATTTAAAATGTATATTATTTAATTAGGCATTTAATGGCACATTCATTTATTTCATGACATTTACCTTAAGTTTCACATCTCTATGATTCTGGAAGCCATTTCACAAGCTTGTGGGCTGAATGGTTGATGCTGAGTGGACAGAGTGTCTGAGCAGCTTGTGGTGACCTCTGATCCTGCAGGGATGATCCAGGCGCTGGCCGGGTTCTTTACCTACTTCGTGATCCTGGCTGAGAACGGCTTCCTGCCCTCCACCCTGGTAGGGATCCGGGTCAACTGGGACAACAAGTACATCAACGATCTGGAGGACAGCTATGGACAGCAGTGGGTCAGTGGCTTCTGTCTGATGGGTGGAACCAGTGGACAGTCCAGCTGCATGTCTTTCTTAAATCTGGACTCTGCTTTGGTTCCAGACCTACGAGCAGAGGAAGATTGTGGAGTTCACCTGCCACACGGCTTTCTTTGTCAGCATCGTCATCGTCCAATGGGCCGACCTGATCATCTGCAAGACCAGGAGGAACTCTGTGTTCCAGCAGGGCATGAAGTGAGGAAGAGCACTGAACTCTGGGTAATTCCAGAGCTGAGCCAGGACCACGTGTGGGATGTCCTGACTTTCTGTTTCTGTGTTTCAGGAACAAGATTCTGATCTTCGGCCTGTTTGAGGAGACGGCCCTTGCTGCCTTCCTCTCCTACTGCCCAGGCATGGACGTCGCCCTCAGAATGTACCCTCTCAAGTGAGTACTTGTGTTTTCAGCCATATAGGGTTTATCCAGGATTCCTAGAGTGAGAAAGTCTGGAATATGACTGTAATACATTTCAGGTCTGGAACATAATAGAAGAATAATTTTTCAGGCTAATATCTATCCTACTATTCCTTCTTTCTTTTTTTTCTCCTTCCTTCCTTTCCTTTTTTCCCTTTTTCCTTCTTTCCTTCTTTTTTCCCCTTTTTTTTTACTTTTCCTCTCTTTCGTTTCCTTTTTAATTTTATTTTCATTTCCCTCCCCTTGTTCCTTTCTCCTTACTTCCTTTCCCCTTTAATTTCTTCCTCATTCCATCTTTCCTTTCTCCTTTTTTTCGTTCCTTCCTCTTCTTTTTCCTTCCTCCCTTCCCCATGTTTTTCAAGGTTTCCACTGAAGAAATCCATGGAATATATGAATTTCCAAATGTAGCTCTGTGTGTTTCTATATGAACAGAATGAGTGAGTGGTCCAACAGGTTGAGTCTGGATCGTTGTGTAGCAACGCTGTCACCCAGAGCTGCAGTTTCCTATTCATCTAATCCGTGCATTTGTGTGTTTTCCAGACCCAACTGGTGGTTCTGCGCCTTCCCATACTCCCTGCTCATCTTCATCTATGATGAAATCCGTAAACTGATCCTCAGGCGAAGCCCGGGAGGCGAGTCTCTAACCTTTCTTCAGGTTTTCTTGGTTCCTTCTTTGGTTTCTAACCTGAACTTCCTGTTTCCCATCTTCTCCAGGCTGGGTGGAACGAGAGACCTACTATTAAAGACCCACAAATCCAGTCCGTTCGCATCTTGTCCTCCACTCCTCCTGTCTTTGCATGAATATTGTCTTGCTGCTCGGAATAAAAATTTTAACCTCTGTGACAAATAAATTGGAACGTGTTTTTATATTAGGGAATGCTTGATACTACCATTAGATCAATACTGAGATGAAAAATGCTGATGATAATGTTGATAAATGACAATGCTAATGATGACATGAACACTGAACATTGACATGACTATGTGTGCCTTGTTTCTGAAACAGGACCAATTTTATACATGTTTTTAACAGTTATGAACGTTCAATAAAAATGCACTCGAGTCGGGTCCCAAAAATGCCTCCTGTCCTTTTTTTTATGATATTTATTTATACATGCCTTGCTTTATAGCTAAAGCAATGAGAAATGCTGCAAGGATTTGCCTGTTTCCTAAAAAAACAGGTACTTCTTAAACTAGAAAAGAGATTAATGTTGGAGGACTTTAGGGGAAAAAAATTATTTAATAAATATATTACAGGAAAACTCAGTAAAGTATTCTTATTCTTATTTTGTTTTGTTTTAAAAACAAGCAAGGTGTGAAGCTGACACCCCACCGAGGTCAAAAAAAATCCAGCAAATGGTCTTAGTGCTCCGTTTGTGCCGTTAAAAATTTCGTTTGCGCAGCTTTCGTTTTTGAGATATTGAAAGTGATCGTTTTGGCCGATGACGTCACCAGACCCCCATTTTGCTCCAAAACAAACCAAAGTGGGCTACTTGGTTAGTGCTCCATTAGTGTAGGTTTGTGCCGTTAAATTTACCGCAGCGAAATTGTTTTCAAGTTGGATATTGGATATTCAAGCTCCACGGTGTAAGCGGCGCCTAGCTCAAGGTTGATCCGATTTATGAACGCTAATTTCGGCCAGCTTTTCTCTACCGTTCCTTCCTCAAGCGCTCGGAGGTTCACAGGACTGTCAACAAATTGCCGAACTAAACACTCCTAAGAAAGAAAACATATTTTTTCATACAATTATTAAAAATGAGTGTGACTTAAAAGTTCACTAGAGAACACTGCGTCTCGTGTAACAGCATGAATTTTGTGTCAGTTGGTCACAAGGCAAGATATCGATTCACATTTGTTTCTTAGGACCATTTATGGTCGGCTTTCAGGAATCTGTTTATGGCATCTTCGATTTAACTTTGACGAGTTGACCTCTGAATTCTGCGTAATTTACATGTTTTGGTGGTTTTGCAGATTTATGTATATAAAAAAAGGCAACATACCATACATATTAGACCAATAAAAGTCTTTCTGGTTAATTATTCTCGAGATCTTATTGGGTGTTTTACGGAATCGGATTGTATTTTTGCAAAGATTTGTAGTTCTTTAATATCTCAAACAAAAGTTACAGAAACGAAAATTTTATCGGCACAAACTTGCACAAACGGAGCACTAACGAACTAGCCCTCTTTGGTTTGTTTTGGAGCAATATGGGGGCATGGTGAACTCTGGATGACCTAAAAACTAATTTTTAATATCTCAGAAACCAAAGCTGCACAAACAAAAATTTTAACGGCACAAACCTTCACAAACTAACCACTCAGACTATTTGCTGGATTTTTTGACGTGGGTGGGGTGTCAGCTTCACACAGCTCAGAAAGAAAAACAGTGACTGGTAATTTTTTTTTATTTCGTCCCCTGATGGTAAAGGGATGTTCCATAACTTTTTGTCATAGACTACTGGACCATTTCATGTTTAATCCAAATTCTTTAAATCTCAGGTTGTGATCTTCATTGGCATTTAGTCTGTAGAATGCAGCTCAACTTTAAAAGTCCTAATCTACATGGAAATGGAACTGAAGAGTAGGTGATGCACGATATATCTACAATAACATCGGTATTGGCTGATATTTGTCATTTTTAAACATATCGGTATCAGTCCTGTAAATAAAACTGGGCCAACATGGACAACCAATATTGATTTTTATGTTGTTGCCGTCTGTGTCTGGTCTTTTTTTCTTCAAAAGTCTTGAGACGGTATATGTAATATACAATCTATATATAATCTATATATAATCTGCTATAACAGCAATATTACCATCAGATATCAGTATCAGCCCAAAGTTTCATATTGGTGCATTTCTAATGAAAAGGAAGTAAATTGTCCTTTCAAAGAGTACGCATCTGCCGAATAATATGGTAACTAGGTATTTTGATGTAAATTTCGACATATAAAGCCTTCCAATAATCAGAAATTCAGATTTTTATCTTTTATATCATGAAATTGGAAATAAAAACTAGAAAATCACACACTTTAAAATACATTTCTTTATCATTTCCACTGATTCTCATCCAGACTTTTCATGGAACACTAAAACTCAAAATATGCTTTTTTTCTTTCTTTTTTTTTCTTTTGATAGTTTTGCTTCCAATTCCCAAGGTTTTCTCTGATGAACATGGTTCTTTTGTTCCTGGATAAAAGTCTGATTAAAGGTTTGAGCAAACACTTAGGAGTTTCATGACTAACATGCTAATGATTCCACATGTTCAAAACGGAGCTCAGCATCGTGATGTGAAAATAGACGCATCAAAGACTGCAGATGCTGCAACCAAAGAGGAATCCTCTTTTGTCTTTAAGTGTCAAAAGCTCTTAAAAGACGAGACGCGACTCATCTAATTACCTTCTTGATAATGACAAGTGATGTTATAACATTTAACAAATCCAGCATATTCCAGCGGAACATTGTGTTTGACTGCTGACTGGCTGCTTTCAGAAAGTAGATGAAACTGGGACACATTTCAAACAGAATGATGAGCAACACAGTGATTGGAGGCCGGCTTGCCTCTGTTGAAGTCAAAGTGTTTGGGCGTGTTTACGCCACCAGAAACTAGGTCACTGAAGATGCTGGCAGAAGCTGCAAACTCAACTCTGAAATGGATAGAGCTCTGTTCTGCTTCTCAGATCTGTTCAAAAGCTGCAACCTAAAGTGTCAGATAAAGGGTCAGAGGTCATTTTGATGATATATTATAAAATGGAAAAAATCTGACAACATTAGTTTATTTAGGAACAGATGTTCCTAAATAAACAGATGTTTATTTAGAACAGATGGACTGCTTCCTATTCGATTTTTCTATGGAACAAAACTCCAAACTATTTTCAGAAAATTCTCCAATTTGCTGAATTTTTCCCTTAAATATTCTAAAAGAAAAGCTGAAATACCTATATATAATGTTATTTGACACACTAACAACTGCCATTTGCCAAGCAGCCAATCCAGGACCACCATTAATTTTCTTTGGCTTCGATTGGCAATTGTTCCTGATCGCCAAAGAGTGGTGATCAGGAAGTATGTGGATGTTAGCTTCTTTGTTAGCTAACATCCACATACATAGATCCACAACATTGTTAGCTTTGTTTGGTGTTTTAACTATTAAAATGGCAGTTTTAATTTTTTTTAGAGGAAGTCTGAATCTCTTAGCTATTTTTTTTAGCAGATGTGGTCCCAAACTCCCACAGCTATATTAAAATATTAATATACCTGTATATATTAATATTAAAAGGTATATTAAAATTACCAATATGAGAGGCAAAAATCTGGTTTTATTAAACACACACCTGATTTCTATGACAGCAGGATGAAGACAGACTGCGAGTCTCTGCAGCTGATTTCTGTGTCAGCTAACACTTCAGCTCTGTCAAGATATCGCATGCCTCACGACTGACCCAGTGACAGCTCTGATGCTGTGTGTGTGTGTGTGTGTGTGTGTGTGTGTGTGTGTGTGTGTGTGTGTGTGTGTATCCAGGGATTGGCATTCTGGATTTGCAGAGTTAACTCTGCTCCCATTCTTGGCCTCTCTGAGGATTTTGTGTTGGTCAGACAGGGTCAGTGTGGGATGACAGATGTCACAAAAGATGGGGGGAAAAACAGGCAGCATGATAAAAACTGACAGCTCTCAGGAAGCTTTTGCTTGGTCAGAATGTACCAAAAGACTGACTGACTGACCAAACTGTACTTTAAAAATTGAAAAAGTATTGTAAATTAAATTCTTGAATTCCAACAAAAAATATGCAAAAAAGCAGTGGTGGGCACCGCTAACTAAAATGTTAGCTCTGCTGACCCTAAGGAGCTAGCTATAAACATTAATTCTGCTAATGCTAAAGCACTAAATTCAGCCATGTTGATTCCCAGAATATGTCACGAGGAGAACGTCAGGAGGCTCACAAAATAATTCATATGTGAACCTTTGCATTAATTAGTTTAATTAACACTCCTGGTTGTTTATTCATGTGAGAGTTGTATTCTTTAGTGTACCTAGTTTGTTGAGATATTTAAAAATTTTTGTGGATAAGAAATTGCTGTTGTTGGGAACCTGGGCATGAATGAGTATAAGGGATGATGACTTATTAAAACAGCGTACATTTCTTGAATGATAGTTTAAGGAATTTAATCCATTTACAGAATTTCCATGTTTCCACAAGGTGAGAGAAACTGTACATGAAGGCATGTATTAAGATGACTTAACAACTGGACGTAAAAATATAAAATATTAATACTAATATTGCTGACTAATGTAACCAGCACAGAGGGGCTACAGGTTGGTTTATAGTTCTCTTTTCTATCATGTTCCAGTAATTTGGAGATAACAGAAGTCCTGCAGACTTGGTACATTAATATTATACACAGCTTATGAGATTAGCCTATCTATAAAGCTTTAAACCTAAAGGAATGATGAATGTTATTCAAGCAAACTGTGTACATATCAGCTGAGGCTGAAAAAAAAAACGTAGATATTCTCAAATGTTAAAAATGTAGTTTCTTGGAAAAAAATCAACATTTACTTCGTTGGTGGAAAAATAATCTGCTTGACAGAGACTTTATATAATGCTCTGGGGCACAATAGAAAACACAAGTGGACATGAACCAAATGAACAGCAACTGCAAAGACCTTTTTATGAGTTTATTGGCCTCGTTGTCGTTTTAGCTGGAGGCCGAGTCTTGAAACGGCTGCTTCTAAAACAACTCAATGAGCCAGAAAATTTATCCTAAAGCAATGAAGGAGCCACTTTTCCTGTTGCTCTTTGTGCATTACATGTCTGTCCAGAAATAGATGACTGTGTTGTTCTAAATCAGGTTGTTCCAACATGTACCTCTGTCTGAGAGAAAAATGAACAGCAGGACGAAAGTGCTGGACCAAACGTTTCTTCTCTACGAGTTCACTCGTAAAGATGTAGTTGACCAGATTTTTTTCATTGCAACCATGTTTTGGTTATAGGTTACTACTAGGTTCAGTGGCACTGTATGGATTGTCATTTTGTGTGTTCAACAGCTGTTTGTGTGTGTAAATACCAGAGGGAAGGT